AAAAATTAAATACCTTATTCTTTTGTCTTTGGGCCATGGTATTTGTACCGATTTTGGCACCAGAGAATGTGCTACTCCAAAATCTAAGATCACAAAAATACACAATTAGAAAACCATATAATGTCAAAAAATGCATAATCATAGAAACACATAATCCCATATTCGGACAACTTTGCTGGAGCCTGGAGTATTCTTGAAAAAACAAAAATCTTTTTAAATGGATATGGGGTTATTGGAATGTATATTTGGAAATTTAGATTCGAATGGGTTGGATCCCATACATCAGCTAATGAATGAAACATATCATTTAAATAGAGGAAAGAGAAAAAACTTTCACTTTCCATATGACTATTAAAATTATCTTTGCATAGTGAAACTTTAACACAGAGCAACCAAAATCTTCCACTTGTTAACAATATAGATGACTTTTCGTATTGGCAACACCAGAAAAAAAATAAAAATTTGAATTGTCCAATAAAATACATACTACTATAGAAACAAAGCATAGAACTCTGAAACATACACAAAACTTTGAACTTTGAACAACACTGAATAGAGTTCATATATCAACATAGAGATACACATTGAAAGAGTTGGGCAGTGGTTATACCTTGGATGGGTCCAACTGAATTAGATTGGAAGAGTTTCTAATTTTTTGAACTGGTATTCGAATCCCCACTGGCTCAATTTTATGATTTCAAACTCATTTAAATAATGAAAATTTGGATTATTTAATTTAAAATCAATACAATTTGCCCCAGTTTTATATCTCTAAACCCTGGATTAGATAATTGGAACCATAAATTGACACAAACTAAGCAGTGGTTGAGGAGGAGGAGCTCTTAGAAATTTCAACAAACACTTCATGTGCAGCGTGGGGTTGTGGTATGACGACGAGTAAATTTGTATATGGATTGGCGAGACAAAATCAGAGAGGGGAAAGGTTGTGCGGGTTTGGCAATCTAGAGAGAGAGAGAGAGAGAGAGAGAGAGGGTGAATGATAAATCGATTGTTACCTGATAGGTCGTCATGGCAGAGGAAAAGTGCATGTTGATGCAGCCATCGCTAGGTAGATCAGAGAGAGAGAGACCAATGCTTGGTGCTACCAAGGGCAATAAAAAATGTGGTGCCCCACCATTCCCCACCAACAAATCCTTTTTGTGTGAGTGAGATGAAGAAAAAGTGGTGAGATGGAGAGAGAACGGGACTACAGATAGAGATAAATAAGCTAACCTAGGTGTTTCGTCTTCGTTGGTGGATTCACTGGTGGTGGCTGAGCCATAGAAGATAGAGAAGTATTTGGTAGTGTGGACAGAAAGAGAGAGAGAAAGGCCGGTGGGTATCTGACAGAGACGTGATTTAAGTTTTGGGCAGGATAAAATTTTTTGTTGGGACTGAATTGTGTGTCATTGGATCAAATTAAATGAAGTTTGGATCATTTAGGTGAATGGTTTTGAGAGATGTTGGTGTCCATTAGATGAATTGATTTGAGATCATTTAATATTGAAGCCGCCCTATTTTATATTATAGATTGGTACATGATTTGTGGCAAGACGAATGTTTTCTAAAAGCCAAGCAGAAAAAATGCATATTTTTGGCACCAAACTAATAAATATTGGCAACATTCCAATAACCAATATAAAAAATGAGCTTCAAGGCAGTAAAAAATAGGCTTGCAAAAATGTAACTGCATACCATAGTTCAACCAAGCCTCATTATTTGTATAAGCTTGACAAAATAGAACCCAAACAACAAAAAATTATAACCAAATATCTCTCATTAGAAGATAAATCAATAAGCTTAACTTATAATTAGAAAAAATTAAATTGCAAAAGAAATAAGTAGAACTATGTTTTAGGTTGAAATATATTTAACATAAGAACAACAAAAAGTAATAAAGGACGCCAGCCTGAGCGCAAGAAATTAGACAGTTAAAGGTACTGACATGTCCCTAATAACAAACAACCTGCTTATGTATCGTAGCTACATGTGAATCAAGTGGTGACCACTGCACACGATCGCCCACTGCCAAAGATTTCAACTCACTACCTACTTCTTTTATGATCCTAGCACACTCATGCCCAATTACCATAGGCGTTTTCTGTAAACCCCACACTTTTCTCGTTATATATGTATGTAGGTTTATATAGCAAGTTATTAATTATTTTGAAATATTAATACAGAAAAATTCAGGAAATAGTAGTTAAAACTTAATTTAGCTTGCAAATATATGAAATCGTTGTAATAAAACTTATACCAACTAGGTTTGATGTACAAAAGCATGTTGAAGAAACTTGGGCTGGAATTGGAAAGGTTTGGAATGGATTGGAAATGAGAAAGGGAGGTTTTGTAGAAAAACAGACAAAACCTTCTGGAAGGTCGATGAAAAACCTTCCAGAAGGTTAAGGTAAAAGATTTAACCAGTAGGCAAAATCTTCTGGAAGGTCTCTGGAAAAGTTGGCCTAATAGGCAAACCTTCCGGAAGGTCGATGACAAACCTTCTAGAAGGTTGATGAAAATGTTTGTCCAGAAGACAAACCTTCCAAAAGGTTAAGGAAGATGATTATCCAGTAGACAAAACCTTCTATAAGGTTAATAAAAATGGTTTTTCAAATAGGCAAACCTTCTGNTTTGGCATATTCTTTTGGGAACGAGATTGTAAAGATTACCTTTGATGTATGAAATTATTATGGATAAATTATTTAGTTTCCCTCATGATGTGAATGGATTTTAATTTGTAATGCCGTCTAGGGTGGATTTTGGGGCGTTATATTTTCACAACAAAGTTGCACATCTCATATTCTAGACATACACATCATTCAAAACATCTCCATCTCTATCTATTTAAAAATTAGTTTAGATTAAAAGCATCAGCAAATTAATTTCTCGAAGTATGACAGTTTAAGCAGTTTACCTTGAAATGATGAACATCACTTCCACACATGCCCACAGCTTTCATCTGAACCTTAACATCATGAGGGCCTGAAGTTGCAGTCGCATGATTAAAACCCAATTGGCNGGTCGACGAACAACCTTCCGGAAGGTCTTCGAAAAATCTAAAAATTTTAAGTCGCGAATAACAGGCTTTCCTTTCACTATAAATACTTAAGGACAACCCTTTTAGTCTCATTTCAACACTCAAAACCCTAGGAGACCTTAGAGATGAGTAAAAGAAGAGAAAAACACAAGATCAAAGGGGATTTCAACTTCAAGAGGATCAAAACCTAGNACAACGCATGTGCATCTAATTAGTTTATTGAAATTGAACTTGATAGTGTAAATAATTTATTCATACACTTTTTCTTAAATAAGTTTATAAAATTATACCCACAACTAAAAAAACCCTATTTCTAACTATATTAGGCTGGACTCCAAGTTTACTTGAAAATTTCAAACAGCCCAAACCTACAAGGCCCAAAACAGGAAAAGCTAGTAAACACAAAATCCTTCTCTTTTTTTTAGCTCAGCATTTGATCATCGTTTACAGCTTCTGAAAGCTCTCAAGCTGGACCAAATTCTCGAAAATTTCATACAATATAATTTTATAATCTGCGGCCNTTATTATCATGTTTTACACAAGTTAGGGTTGAATACCCATGAAATCTCCTTTCTTGCTTTAAAAATCCTAGTTTTTTGGAGCGTGATGGATTTTCTTCTTAAATTCTTACTTTACTATTGATTTCGAAACTATAGTGCTTTGTGTTGAGTAATTAAATGATGTTGTGATCTCTTGTATTTTTCTTAATTGGTTTAGGAATTGTCACATGATAAATTTGGGGATTTTTGAGATATGCTTGTAAATTGAGAAATTGAGTTTGGTATTGTATCTCTCATGAGTGTGGGAGGACCATGGGTAGCCTTTGACGAGATATCGTAGAGTGGGTAGACGTTATTCATACTCCGTGTGGGTTTGAGGTTTTTCTACCACTCGTAGTGGGGTACTGCTTTGGTAAGACTAAACCACTATTGCTCACGGGTATCGAGACGGAGGGTTAGTATACTAATGTCTGGGTTGGATACGTCACTGCCATTGGTATGGTAAATGCCCTTCCTAAAGGTTGTATATCTTTGAGAAGATTTGGTGGTGTGTGTGTGGGCTAGATGTTACTCAATGCGTTGATTCATGTGGATGCCTTACATCATGGTTAAGATACATGTATATATTGTTGTGAAATGTTCAAGTTATGAATTATTGTTTATTCTACCAGAAATAGTTTTTACAAGAATTTTGGGAAGTATGGGATTCCGCAAGAATTTGGGAGAAACGGTTTATGGTGGAATGGATTATTAGTTGTATATTGGTTTCACTTATGCATTAAATTATTACAGTTGTTTAAACTTGAGATCTGTTTAAATGTCCCGATTTTCTTTTAAAATTCATATATGCTATTTGTGAAAGGTGACCGACCATTTTTATATACTTTTATAAACCTTGTTTGAGTTTGGGAGGAATGTTTATACAAAGCTTAGTGCTCACCCCCTTACAAACTACATTTTTAAGATTATATACTGGAGGAGGATTTGAGAATTGAGGAACCAGCACACTGGGAGATTCCCGTAGACGGACATGTTGATCCCGAGGTGGACGCGTAGAACAACATTACTTTTTATTCTAGACTAGGAAATGTACTTTGGAAAATATTGTGAAGTCTAGAATCTTTTGTAATTTCGCTGCGATTTTATGTTTAATTATTTTGGGATGTAATTATCTTACTTTGGGATCATATTCTTTTGGGCATATATTCGTCATGTTTTGGCATATTCTTTTGGGAACGAGATTGTAAAGATTACCTTTGATGTATGAAATTATTATGGATAAATTATTTAGTTTCCCTCATGATGTGAATGGATTTTAATTTGTAATGCCGTCTAGGGTGGATTTTGGGGCGTTATATTTTCACAACAAAGTTGCACATCTCATATTCTAGACATACACATCATTCAAAACATCTCCATCTCTATCTATTTAAAAATTAGTTTAGATTAAAAGCATCAGCAAATTAATTTCTCGAAGTATGACAGTTTAAGCAGTTTACCTTGAAATGATGAACATCACTTCCACACATGCCCACAGCTTTCATCTGAACCTTAACATCATGAGGGCCTGAAGTTGCAGTCGCATGATTAAAACCCAATTGGCCAAACTGATTGAAGAGTTCATAGGAGTCAATTAAAACTCTAATTCTAACTAAAACATTAAAACTGGTACTTCATTTGATTAGAATAATGTTGATCAAAAGGGAGAATTTTGAGCGGATAATGACTCTTCCATGACAGTGTACCCAACACAAAAGCAATAACAATTATAGATAAGAATTAGGAACACCAAAAATCTCAATAAGATATACAGAGGCCTCAATATCTCCACCTAGATCTAACCTCATTCACTAATTCCTATCCAAAATACGAATTTTTGAACTCAAAGGCAATCACAAATTCGCAATCAAATAGTTTGTATGCACTTTCAAATTCCAAATTTAATTATTCTACCATAAAATTATGCTAGCATCCCTTCATCGACTCCACAATACTCAATTTCAAAACCAAAGCAATCGAATAAATAACAATAAGAATAAATTATTGCTCAAGAAGCTATCATTTTCTTTGTAGGTCTAAAAAAATTAAAAACTAAAAGGAAGCAAGCTAAGAAAGTGGAATGAGAGATTACCACCTAAATCTCTCTTGGCTGTAGCATTGGACTTTCTTAAGAGTATATTGGGAGATGGTGAATTATTGTGCTTCAGAAATTTTGTTGAACACATGGTGGCTGGTGGTTTGGGTAGTGGCTGGGATGTTGGTGAAGCTAGTTGAACAACATAACTCATTGTTCTTAAATTAAAAAAATAAGGAAGTGGGCGACATTACCCATTTCTCACAAGTACTGAAATTACACAATGACTTTGACATTAGAAGTCTAACAAAACACAAAAAGAATTATTATGTCAACTTAACCTGAACATAACAATAGGCAATAACACTTACAATGGGGAGTAAGCCTTGTTTTCTGTAATCTCATTCTGTTATAAGATTGGGTCATGATGCAAGATAGTAGGTCATACAATGGGGACTGGGTATGAATAGAAGTTATAGNCTAGGGCTAATATATATGTATTTTTTGACTCTAAATCTTATATATTTGCTATGAAATCATCTTTTCTTGGTCTTTTTGCAATTATTATCATGTTTTACACAAGTTAGGGTTGAATACCCATGAAATCTCCTTTCTTGCTTTAAAAATCCTAGTTTTTTGGAGCGTGATGGATTTTCTTCTTAAATTCTTACTTTACTATTGATTTCGAAACTATAGTGCTTTGTGTTGAGTAATTAAATGATGTTGTGATCTCTTGTATTTTTCTTAATTGGTTTAGGAATTGTCACATGATAAATTTGGGGATTTTTGAGATATGCTTGTAAATTGAGAAATTGAGTTTGGTATTGTATCTCTCATGAGTGTGGGAGGACCATGGGTAGCCTTTGACGAGATATCGTAGAGTGGGTAGACGTTATTCATACTCCGTGTGGGTTTGAGGTTTTTCTACCACTCGTAGTGGGGTACTGCTTTGGTAAGACTAAACCACTATTGCTCACGGGTATCGAGACGGAGGGTTAGTATACTAATGTCTGGGTTGGATACGTCACTGCCATTGGTATGGTAAATGCCCTTCCTAAAGGTTGTATATCTTTGAGAAGATTTGGTGGTGTGTGTGTGGGCTAGATGTTACTCAATGCGTTGATTCATGTGGATGCCTTACATCATGGTTAAGATACATGTATATATTGTTGTGAAATGTTCAAGTTATGAATTATTGTTTATTCTACCAGAAATAGTTTTTACAAGAATTTTGGGAAGTATGGGATTCCGCAAGAATTTGGGAGAAACGGTTTATGGTGGAATGGATTATTAGTTGTATATTGGTTTCACTTATGCATTAAATTATTACAGTTGTTTAAACTTGAGATCTGTTTAAATGTCCCGATTTTCTTTTAAAATTCATATATGCTATTTGTGAAAGGTGACCGACCATTTTTATATACTTTTATAAACCTTGTTTGAGTTTGGGAGGAATGTTTATACAAAGCTTAGTGCTCACCCCCTTACAAACTACATTTTTAAGATTATATACTGGAGGAGGATTTGAGAATTGAGGAACCAGCACACTGGGAGATTCCCGTAGACGGACATGTTGATCCCGAGGTGGACGCGTAGAACAACATTACTTTTTATTCTAGACTAGGAAATGTACTTTGGAAAATATTGTGAAGTCTAGAATCTTTTGTAATTTCGCTGCGATTTTATGTTTAATTATTTTGGGATGTAATTATCTTACTTTGGGATCATATTCTTTTGGGCATATATTCGTCATGTTTTGGCATATTCTTTTGGGAACGAGATTGTAAAGATTACCTTTGATGTATGAAATTATTATGGATAAATTATTTAGTTTCCCTCATGATGTGAATGGATTTTAATTTGTAATGCCGTCTAGGGTGGATTTTGGGGCGTTATATTTTCACAACAAAGTTGCACATCTCATATTCTAGACATACACATCATTCAAAACATCTCCATCTCTATCTATTTAAAAATTAGTTTAGATTAAAAGCATCAGCAAATTAATTTCTCGAAGTATGACAGTTTAAGCAGTTTACCTTGAAATGATGAACATCACTTCCACACATGCCCACAGCTTTCATCTGAACCTTAACATCATGAGGGCCTGAAGTTGCAGTCGCATGATTAAAACCCAATTGGCCAAACTGATTGAAGAGTTCATAGGAGTCAATTAAAACTCTAATTCTAACTAAAACATTAAAACTGGTACTTCATTTGATTAGAATAATGTTGATCAAAAGGGAGAATTTTGAGCGGATAATGACTCTTCCATGACAGTGTACCCAACACAAAAGCAATAACAATTATAGATAAGAATTAGGAACACCAAAAATCTCAATAAGATATACAGAGGCCTCAATATCTCCACCTAGATCTAACCTCATTCACTAATTCCTATCCAAAATACGAATTTTTGAACTCAAAGGCAATCACAAATTCGCAATCAAATAGTTTGTATGCACTTTCAAATTCCAAATTTAATTATTCTACCATAAAATTATGCTAGCATCCCTTCATCGACTCCACAATACTCAATTTCAAAACCAAAGCAATCGAATAAATAACAATAAGAATAAATTATTGCTCAAGAAGCTATCATTTTCTTTGTAGGTCTAAAAAAATTAAAAACTAAAAGGAAGCAAGCTAAGAAAGTGGAATGAGAGATTACCACCTAAATCTCTCTTGGCTGTAGCATTGGACTTTCTTAAGAGTATATTGGGAGATGGTGAATTATTGTGCTTCAGAAATTTTGTTGAACACATGGTGGCTGGTGGTTTGGGTAGTGGCTGGGATGTTGGTGAAGCTAGTTGAACAACATAACTCATTGTTCTTAAATTAAAAAAATAAGGAAGTGGGCGACATTACCCATTTCTCACAAGTACTGAAATTACACAATGACTTTGACATTAGAAGTCTAACAAAACACAAAAAGAATTATTATGTCAACTTAACCTGAACATAACAATAGGCAATAACACTTACAATGGGGAGTAAGCCTTGTTTTCTGTAATCTCATTCTGTTATAAGATTGGGTCATGATGCAAGATAGTAGGTCATACAATGGGGACTGGGTATGAATAGAAGTTATAGCAAGATAAGGGCCAACCAATTATGTACTCAAATACGTGAGAACTTCCATATAAATGATATCTTTGACAATTTATTCCTAGTCTCATCCAATAATTCACAAAAAACAACACAACAAGGACAAAACAATTATCAATTTTCCCTAAATATTTATCAAAATAAACAACATGAAAATTTTAGGATTTACAAATTTTTCCTAAATATTTATACAACTTCATAGATTTTTTTTCCCAAACCCGAAAACAGAACAAAACAATGGAGAGAAATTATTCAAGAAAGTAGTTCCTATATGTAGGTCAAAATGTATAGTAGTTTTTGTTATGATTACTACTATGAACAGAATAGCACAACACTACTATAAATTATGTATAACTCTACATATTCCCCGCCAAAAAAAAAAATCAGCCAAATTCAATCCAAATCAGAATAGAACAACACTACTAAAGACTACAACAAATATGGACATTAGATACACAACAAACAATAGTTGTGAGGGTAACTTTGCAATTCCAATGAAAGAATGCACTTTTGGACAAAATAAGATAATTTAGAATGTAGGAAGAACACTGGCAATGAAAATATCTAAATAGTTTGTATGCACATTCGTCAACTCCACATTACTCAATTTCAAAACCAAAACAATTGAATAGACCACTAAAAAACTATAAGCACATTCAATGACAGTTAAAAACCAAATGAACAATTATAAAGCATAATCCATTTTTAAAATTAGACTTCGTTAGTTAAGCTTTGCTTTGGAGCATCAAGAAAATTTGTCAATACCAATGGCCTCCTTGTATCAATAGGTTACAATTGATGAAAAAATAACAATAAGAATAAATTATTGCTCAAGAAGCTATCATTTTCTTTGTAGGTCTAAAAAAATAAAAAACAAAAAGGAAGCAAGCTAAGAAAGTGGAATGAAAGCTTACCATCTAAATCTTTATTGGTTGTAGCATTGGACTTTCTTAAAAGAACATTGGGAGATGGTGAGTTATTGTGTTTGAGAAATTTTGTTGAACACGTGGTGGCTAGTGGTTTGGGCAGTGCCTGGGATGTTGGTGAAGCTAGTAGAACAACATAACTCATTGTTCTTAAATTTGGTCTTCTAACATAACCCCATCAACCCATAAGCAAAAAAAAAAAGAAGTAAAGTGTGCGTCTAAATTTAGGTAATTATACAACTAAGAACAGCCACACCTCCATCCAATTAGATCATAAAACCCAAAAACATGGATTCAAACAACAAAGGTACAAATATGCCTGAGAGAGAGGAGGGATACCAAAACCCTTTACTATTTCATGGATTCAATCCGTGTCAATCAAGCAATCAATCAATACACATGAGAGAGAGAGAGGAGGGTTACCTCACGGCCGGAGTGATGAGAAGAGGAAGCGGAAGAGGAGGGTTTAGAAGAGGCATCATCGTCAACGGAGTCGGCAACTATTATAAGAAGCTCTCGATCTCAACAACGTAATTAAATTTGACACAAAAGTCAATATATTCATACTTCAAGCTTACGCGACTATTCTTTTAACAATGATTTGAAGTTTCTCTTATTATTTTAATTCTTTTACAAATAATAGCAAGATAATATCATTGATATTTATATAACACATGGGATCTCACAATCTACCCCCGTTAAAATAAGTTTTGTCCCCGAAACTTGCTACTAACCTCCA